GCTCAGAGAAAACAACCACACTGGCACCCCAATTGCTATGTGCCCCCCAAGATACAGCAATGCAGCAGCCATCACCCACTTATACTCCCACTTATATATTCAAGACCACACCGCGCACGAACAGCCGAAGTTAATGAAATGGAAGTAGCCATCTAGGCGCCAGGTTGGCTGTCTTACGGCTGCGTTGGAAGCATCTTGGGGCCAACTTCGTCTACCTTGGAGCCCATAATGGTGATACAACTTCGGCATTGCCAAAAGCCATCCAAAAATACACCTCAAAACGCTCTCCCCACTGGCCCTGCAGCTCAACCATAGCCACGCACGCGCAAAACAAAGGCGCCAGGTTGGCTGTCTTACGGCTGCGTTGGAACCATCTTGGGCCAACTCCGTCTACCGTGGAACCCAGAATGGTGATACTACTTCGGCATTGCCAAAAGCCATCCAAAAATACACCTCAAAACGCTCTCCCCACTGGCCCTGCAGCGCAACCATGGCCACGCACGCGCGAAAAAAAGGCGCCAGGTTGGCTGTCTTACGGCTGCGTTGGAACCATCTTGGGCCAACTTCGTCTACCGTGGAGCCCAGAATGGTGATACTACTTCGGCATTGCCAAAAGCCATCAAAAATACACCTCCAAAACGCTGTCCCCAGTGGCCCTGCAGGCCGAGCAAGAATCAACGCAGCAACCAGCCCAAAACACAAAAACTCCTCCAAAACGCTCTCCACAGTGGCCCTGCAAACACGACGTAACGAAAAATCATCCAAACATGTGCCTCCAAAACGCTCTCACCAGTGGCCCTGCAGTCCAACCATAGCCGCGCACGCGCGGAAAAAAAGGCGCCCCCCCACCCCGAGCAAAGCTATTTGCATGGCAGCAGAGCTTAGAGAGCCCCATAGCACGCCCTGCACCGACAAGCTGTGTGGGCAGATTTTGTTCACTGATTTTGCCGTGCTTTTCAAGGATTTCCACAGCAACTTTCGAGTAACCAACTGCACCAACCTCCCAAAAAAACAAATATCTGTTTACGCATCCTTTTGGATGTTCAAAGTGAGTTGACGATCACCTTCTTAGCCTGAAAGGCCTTCGAAAGGCCTTCCCATTGACGTTCTTCCTGTGGACAAATCCATCATCAACTCTGCACTCTGTCTGCTCCTCATCTGGCCCCCACATGGTCACAGAACGCTCGCCGTGAAGCATATGGACATTTTCCTCTTGCGCTTCCTCACTGGCACTCCACACACCGTGGGCCGTGTAGCATAGCCCCTGCTGGCAGTAGAAGTCCTGCTCCTGACCAGGGCACGAGCATCGTTGCAACATTCGCATCATGTAAAGGGTAACGTTTCAATGGAGCTTGTTCGTGCCTTCGCAATGCTGACGATTTTGTCGCGAAAGATCTTTTCCGGCCCAGGAGGTAGTTTGCCAAAGCCATAGCTAGGTTATATATGATATACCGGGATCTTCCAACTATGCAACATTTATGCCTTTTAGTGCCTTTGAGCTGGTGCTTTAGATGAACCGGCAAACATGTTGCACAGTTGGAAGATCCAGTATACATACTGTATCACTGGGACTCAGGACCGCAGTACTTCATGTCAACTTTCGCTTCAATCGAAGCCTGCATCTCATCTTCTTTACGGGTCGTGTTCCCACTTCAGTGACTGAAGAGATTGCACCGACTTCACCCGCGGCCTGGCCACGGAAGCCGAAGGGCACCGAGGGAGCCTCCAAGGCGTCGGACAGATGGAGCTCCTGGCCGCGAACGGAAGGAGCTCCTCCAAGGCTCCCAACCAGAGATGCATGAGAATAGGGAGACCCCATGAGACCCCCACACACAACAAATCCTCCTGGAAAAAGGTAAAATAGACCCAAAACCCATACACACCCAATGGGTTGTGATTCTTGCCATGATGGAAAGAAGCTGCTCCTCTTCAGCTTGAGCGCGCCCAACCAGGTTGTGACCTGCTTGATCCCTTTTTCAGGGGGCTTCAAAGGTCTATTTCCTTCTTCCAGGTCTGGAAATCATATCGCACATCCACCTGATCCGCATGGGGATTGGCACAAACAACCCTCCTTGTCTTCTCCGCCGGAACAAGGAACTCCAACTCACCCAAACACCCAGAGTTTTTGGTGAATGAGACGCCTAACTAGGCTGGACACCTCCAGAAACCATCAAACTCAACTTCTCGCTTACCGAAACAACATCGAACCCTTCCTGCCAGGAGTGGATCAAGGTGGTGGATTCGGACCTCTCCCTCCGCAAACGTCATGGGATCAAAAGGCGGAGGCACCCAACTCACTGGTGATGAGCAAAAGAACCCAGGTTTGAACTGGACGACTGGACAAGCCAAGCATGGCGAAGCAACTATCCTTGCAAGTCATTGGAGCCTAGAGCCACAAAGTTCTCGTGGGTAGTACCCATAGCTCACAAACACATGACAAAAAAATTCATGGACAGGAACACCATCAGGAACCATGCATATTCAAGAACAAGGGCCAACTATGAGCATCTGTGAGTATCCTCCCTCCTTTTCAACCATTGGTCGTGAACAATCACCTCAATCAAGCACCTCAATCAACAGCAAATCCCCAGGGCGTCCGTCCTCATGGTAACAATGTTGAACCATCTGTCCTCATGGTGTCGCTACTAGGAACAAGTGCATCGCTACTAGTAACAAGTGCCTTACTAGTATTAGTAACAATGTTTGCTAGTAGAATTTAAACTAAATTAACTAATAGCTTCTTGTTACTACTAGTAAGGCACGTGTTACTAGAGGCGATGCACTTGTTACAACCAAACACAACAAACCACTTAACTGAGGATAAACCTCCACCCGCCGCCAACCTACCCCTAATTACTGATCCCTAAGTCCAAACCCAACACGAGGGCCATCAGCCCCCAAGCGAAGTCGTGAAGGTGCTACACCCCAAAAGGACACACACACACACCGTCACCCACCGCCAGAACGGCGCCACCGCCCCCACTCTCACAGGTCGGGGCTCCACGTGCAAGTGCGCCGTGGGGCAAAAGCCGACCGCGCCGCTGCTGGCGATCCGTTGCCCCCGCGTCACGGCGGCGCCCAGCGGCACTGCGGCCGACTGGCGAGGACGGGGAGAAGAGGACGAACGCCAGGTGGTGGGAAGCGGAGAGGTCAAGCGGTTTTTCGACATGGTTTGAAACTTCGTCGTGTCATGGATATGGTATCGTCATGGACCGACGCGGTCAGTTTCCACCCACTACAAAAGCAAAACAATGGTGGTACCGCAGCAAACACCCGGGCCCGCAGTAGCTTCCTAGCCAACCTGCCTTTTGATTGACCTCTGGGACTCACGCTTGCCTCGCCCTGTTTGGGGTGGAACCGCCCTTCCTTCAAAAAACGTACCATTCGCATTTTGCCACAAAAGAGCAACAAGTCGTATTTGGTAAAACACGTTGCGCTACAGCTTCAGCACAAAAGACAGGGGTGCCCTGAGTCCAAAAATGTGTCACTTCTCTGTCTCTGCCTGGATGTGGACGTATTCAGCCCAAGTGCCATCCACCTGCTTCACAGTGATCTGATTCCATTTGAAGAAGTTCTCCACATCGACTCCTGCAACTCTGCTACGTGCCACGCGCTACATGCTGCTGAGGCTGAAGCAACTCTGCCCTAAAAACCAAAGATGTGACCATCTGACATCTGCGGGTGTTCAATCTCCAAACACTCCATGGGTTGTTCCTGGTGATGCGGCCGGTCCTGAAGCCGTCTCGTTGTCGCGGATCTGTGTTACCTTACGTAGCGATATATCGCTACCAAAAACCAAGCAAATATGCTGAGATTGCAGGGAAACATTGTAAGCATCACTTGCATCTCTTACAAATGTACCATCTACATCTTAGCTGGCTCACGACCTTTCGATAAGGATACGTATAAACAAAAGGTTTAACAAAGCAACAAACATGAGTCAGCATGAGGTTCATGGTCGCCAGCTATTCTCAGCATCTGATCCATTTGAGAATATTCGGATGTCTCACGCAAAAAAGAAGCCGAGCGAATCACACGAGAGATCAGAGCGATCACATCGATGTAAACCGAGCAAGCCAAAGGTTGAATGTGCAATGTCTAAGCCTAAAAAAAACAAAGATTCGATCATCGAGCTCACATCGAGCTCGCTCAAACATCCAGCTGAAGGCTGATGTGGTTTTTCAGGTTGTTTCAGGGGGCAAGGGGGATGCAATGGACCTTCTGGCTGGTGGCGTTGAGCAGCTTTTCATCTATGTGCCGCACATGTGCGGCATTCCGCAGATGAAGACCAAGCTGACATACTAATCTCTTGGTCTAAAAGATTTGTTCAAGGAAGCTGCAACTGATATGAACGCATACGTGGCAAATGGTTTGATTGCTAGAATTGATTCCTTCCTTTGACTGCGCAACAAAAATAACTGCTACCCTCCACTCAAGTCATCCAGCAATCTCTGTGAGAGGCCATCTGAGCAACTGGCAGAACTTCCAAGCGAACTATTGTTCACTCGTGTCATCTCTGCTGTCGTTTTGGTCGTTCACATTCACTAGACTCTGCAAACTCATCTGGTTACGTTACGATGGCGCCACCTCCATTGTAAAAAGGAACATGGCCCTTCATGGGGCCATTCAATCCACTTCCCAATGGATTTCCCCTACCGAGAACTCCTCCGACCCAAATCAAAGCCTGTCCCGCATGCCACATGCGGCTCACGTTCCTTGACTCCATAGCCATGCTGGGTTGCTATCCTTGAAGAGTCGATGACTTCATGATACTCAATGACTCACCCCGGCTTTGGTAGTGGTTGATTTATGTTGTTGTTGTTTTTAACAAATCTTTCGACACAAAAGGGTTCTCCACTCCATCAGCGGCATCTTCTTTGTTGTGATATCATATAGTATGGACCAATATAGTTATATATAACCTGTTGTCATTCAACCCATCAGCTGACCAAAGCTGTCCCAGATCCGTGATTTCACTGGCAGATTGACCCATTCTTCGACCCAAACGCCACGCCCTCTTCCATTGCCAACACGGCGGTGTTCACCGCGCAGTCGAAATCCAAGGCGTAAAAAGTGGAGGGGTGAGCGAAGTGCGTTAGCCTCCCGCCATGTCCTCACGTTTGGCATACGTACAACATACCCGCAGTCGTGCGCATGCAACCGTAGTTACGAACAAAATAACGCGAAGGGTAGATCTTCCGGGAGGCGCCTCATCTTGCAGTCTCTGAAGATCCAAGAGGTGTATCCTCTCTGTTGGACAGTTCGCCCTTGTGTAGCAATGCAGAAAGAGGATTTGCAAGACGGGCAAGGGAAATGCAATCAGAACAGTGGAATTAAGTTTGACGTTGGACAATCTGAACTTTTGTCAAATGTATGGGGTGATGCGTGTGTTTTGATTCTCTTTGTATTACTTTCTATCATTGCAAAACACATGCTACAACTACTGACTTGTGCTTCGTAGGGAATGAGGGTGGCAGGATCCCCAAAAAATCTCTCTTGAGGGGCTCAAGCCCTTCGAACATCGACAACCTCATGCGAGGCCTCGAACGCATGTAGATACCTCAAGTCGACTCTATAAGAGACTCACGGACAACCTGTAAAACTTTTGGGGTAGCTAACCAACACTGACAAACAACATATATTATAATATGAATGATACTGATAGCATATTACAATTGGATTTGATATGAACATAACCAAGCCTCCTGGCCTCTTCTGGCCACCTCTTCCAGAGGATACTAGGGCAATGCTTTTACATCTTTTCATCGGACCTACCATCTACACTTGCACGAGGCCGACGTGCACTCCGCATGACATGCCAGGCCAGTCATGTGCGGTCCTTGGGAGCACAGAAAGGGCCCACCCTCCAGTGGAAAGTCGTAGACAAAGCTTCCTCGAGCGACGGAGCAACAAAGCGACCCACAGCACTCCTTTTTGTGTTGCTTTTAGATTGTTTAAACCTGATAGGAGGTACCTCAACACTATCCCAGACATACGCTACATGTATCTCTATATATATATATATTTATATTTATACATTTATATATGTATATATGTATTGTATTGGCTCAAGCCATTTCTGCTCAAGTTTCCGCGCCGGGACCTGGACCCCATCGACTGCACTGGGACTACGCCCCACCTACGCGACCTCCTCGAGACCGCTTTTGGAGAGAACCTGGGTGTCCTGGCAGGTGCTCTTTCGGAATGACCTGGACCAGATCGTACCAATGTTGCAGTCAGCCTGGCTGCAGCAATTGGATCTGGGAGGATCGCATCAAAGCCACCTACACTTGCCGGCTTTGCGGGACACCTTGGAAAAAGCCACTACAGGGCTATGCCACTGGGGGAGAAAGGACCTCAAAAGGCTGGAACAAGCCAAAACCACGAACTGTGTCGCCTCCACCGGGGTTATCAACAGGACGGCCGCCTCGACCTTCCAAATTGCAGAAGACTGCTGCGGAGATCCTGGCCCCGGCCTGGGGCTCTTTGGATGAGACCTTGAAGCTGAAGCTCACTGAGGTCGGCATCAACCCGACACCCAAGGTCAGTGAACCGGACTTGACTGATGTCCTCAAAGAGAACCTGGCCAGCCTTCCGGCCCCGGTCAAAGAACTGGTTGAGAAGATCACCAAGCCTCAGCCAGAGACGGAAAAGGACATGGCATCCCGACTCAAACAGCAAGTCTCCACGCTTCGGGACATCTCTCAGCGGAAGCACCTTCTGCAGCAGAAGATTGACAACACCAAGAAGCATTACCAAGAGCTCCTTGATGAAATGAAGACTCTGCAAGGCAGACTTGAGCAGGAACAGGCATCCTTGAACACCATCAGCACGGCCTACCTCACCAAGGTCAGTGCTATTCAGGCTGAAAAGCCTCTTCAACCTCTCGAAACTGAGATGGCAGATTCTGTGCCGGCTGCAGTTGCAGGCTTCATCACCACTTTAGGAGTCAGCTTGACCCAGGAACAAAAAGAGCAGTTGAACGTCATGCTCAAACGTCCTTCGGTTGATGCTGAAGCCATTGATGAAGAGGCCAAACGCCGCAAGACTGAGCTTGGCAATGCAGCGTCGTGTGGGTAGCCCTCAGGCCATCCCCACACAAATGCTTTCGGTTTTTGAACGGGGACTTACGTCATGCTCCCTTGATCATGACTTGGGACAACCTCAACTGGCATGCAGGGGTAGTGCATCTTCAGTTGAACTTTTGCTTTCAGGCTCAAGCGAGGGCCTATTTTCTTCGGGCACCGGCTATGGGCCGTACCGGCATCCCTTGACGAAGCTCAAGGTCTACGGAGGGGCTATCTCCTCCTCTGAGACACAGGCCCGAGGCACAGCCGAGGCACCCACTGAACAGCCCCCTCGGGGGACTGTTTCTTTCGGGACCTTGGCTGTGCACTCCTTGGCCAACCTCCTCAACATGGAGGCCGAGACTGACTCGTCTCTCTCCTTTGAGCAGCAGACAATGTTTGATCTCTGCAGCAAGGACTTGTTGGCGTCTTGCCAACAGTACGGCAGAGGTCCAACCATTCATGGAGGCCAGCAACTTCTGGCGGACTTGAAACGGATGCAAAACCTCATCCATCGCCACCTCAGTGTTCCCGGGGAAGTGGAACACACTGTGGCAAACATTTTTGTGATCTCCCAATGCCTCACCAGCATTCTGACCAATCCACGGAACCTGTGCTATGGCAACGCTCCCTGGCGGTGCTGGTGCTGGACGGGAGCTTTTGCTGATGATGTCACCCAAGCTTGGGGCAACACCACTCAAGCTGTTCGACAATTTCTTTCGGATCCAGAACCTCAGCTCTTGACTGGGCTGCATGACATGCAGCAAATATGGGCACAATTTGACTCAGAAGAGCAGGCTGATGCCGTTGATTTCCTCCATGCTTTGTGGACCTTTTCGGGAAGTTCTTTCTTTGCGGGGAGGTTCTTTCACCGAAGTGAACGAGGCCACACGGAAGAGAGGGAACAGTTTCCCTTAAATCTCATTTTCCCTGACGGTGATCATCCCATGACCCTGGACTCCTTGGTCAACCTTTGGGCAGACGAGGGGCGGGGACAGTTTCTCTATGGCGCCCCGGGCGGTGTGGTCCTCAACCTGCAGCGCTCCACCTTGCAAGGAGGTGCCTGGACGAAACACCACCGGGAGCTCGAGCTCCCCACAGGAGTCAGGCTGCCATTTTCTGAGGATGGCATCAACGTCCACATGGCAAACTATCAAGTGGTGGGCCTGGTCACCCACCAAGGAGCATCACACGAGAATGGGCATTACCAGACCATTTTGGCCATTGACAACATCTACTGGTTGGCTGATGATGGGACCTTTCCCACTCCTCTGCCTCACCTCACTCTGCAGCAGAGGCAGGAAATCGCCCAGATCTGGCTCATCGCAGCTGCCACTGATGAACTTGTTCCGGACACTGCTATGGAAGTCGCTGAATACCTCCCAAAGAAACCCAAGACTTGCCAAGAGACTCTCCACTTTTCCTTCAGCAACGTCACCTTCTTTGGCAAGAAAGTCCAAGATTGGGTCTGGGGGCAAGGAGACAAGATCATGCTCTTTCAGGAGACCCATCTTCAGCAAAAGGCGCTGGACACCTCGCTCCAGTACTTCCACAGTCGAGGATGGAAATGCCATGGGGTTGCAGCTGAACCAACAGGCAATGGAGGATCAACAGGTGGCTTTCTCACCTTACATGCCACCAGGCACTTGATCCACCATGTCCACACCTACACCAAGCAAGGGAATGGTTGGACGGTCCTGGCCATGCAACGGGATGGACTTGAGCTCTACATCATTCAGCTCTACCTTCGCACTGGGGAACCACTCCAATCCCCTCTCAATGCCGAGCTCCTGGGACAGCTCTTGCAATTCCTGGACCACCTTCAAGCTCCTTTCATCATTGGCGGTGACTGGCAAACAGCTCCTGAGGATCTTGCGGCCACCACGATACCCAGCAAGTTTCGTGCTCAGATCCTCGCCACACCTGGCCCTACGACGCTGCAAGGAAGCCACTTGGACTTCATCCTGGCGTCCACATCCATTGCCTCAGCCTTGCACCTCGAAGCTGACTGGGAAGTTCCGTGGAAGCCTCACTGTGCCCTCTCGCTCAGGTTTGACTGTCAACAAGCCGCCCTCCCTGTTCAGCAGCTACAACGGTTTCCTCCGGTGACTCGCAACTACCACCCCAAGCACCTTTGGACCAGCTTTCATGAGGATGATGGGCCCTTTCACATCCTGGGTCCACTGGTTTGGGATCGGACCTGGCGAGATGGGCCACTCAAACTGAGAAATACCTCAATCAGCACCTCCATAACCCTGTCACAGGCAGAGGCTCCCAGGTGCATTTGTACCAAGCTCCTCTGGCCACCTCCGACAAGCCAAGAGTCTGGAAGAAGGGCAGTGCGGCCTTTTGGGAGAAGCTCGGAGCCAAGATCAACCTGGCCAACCTCGGCAGATACCCAGGACTCCTTCAAGACCTCAAGGACATGGCATCGAGGATATCTCAGCATGCCTCCAAGGAACTCGATCAATCAAGCTTTGAGGAGCAGCTCCTGAAATGGATCTTTGGCGGCAATGTGCCACATGCACACCTCCTTCAGATCGTGCAACAAGAACAACAACTAGCACAAGAACAGCTTCTCAGTGCCACGAACCATGAGTTCCGAGAGTGGTTGGAGAAGGCTCACGACAAGGGCCTCAGGGGGCTCTTCCGCAGCTTGAGACAAAAAGATCATGCGTGGCAACGGCCCTTCCAGGACCTCCCTCCCACTTCTCGCACCTCAGCCAGAGAACAGCAGTGGGGTGCCATCTGGATTCCACGAGAGGATCCCATGCCTCTTCGCGGTCTTCAAGAGCTGAAGCGGGTAGCACAAGCTCATGCTTTGCAGATGAAGCCGATTGACTCCAGTCTTCTTCAGAAGATCATGCGACGGCTCCCGAACAAGGCAGCCGGACCAGATGGCATCTCCTATGACTTCTTGAGGCACCTTCCATATCCTGCAGTCGAGAAGCTCTCCCACCTTCTCACTGAGATGGAGAAGGAAGCAGAACTGCCAATCCAGCTGCGTCACACCAACATCGTGATGATTCCAAAGAATGAACGCATTGAGAGACCTATTGCGCTCACCTCATGCCTCTACCGGCTCTGGAACAGCTATCGGAAAGCCGAACTCCACAAGTGGCAGCTGGGTCTCGACAAGGACATGCCATGGGATCACGCCAGGCCACACAAGGACTGTCTTTCGATAGCAGTTGGCCGCATGCTCAAAGCCGAGATTGGGAAGCACCAGGGCATCCACACTGTCACATGCCTGGCTGACCTCACCTGCTTTTACGACACGGTGCAGCTGGACCATCTCATCGAACCAGCGACCAACCTCAATTACCCTCCTCTGCACCTCAAGCTGGCTTTGGACCTTTACTCTGGTCCCAGGCTGATCCAAGCGGAGGGCTTGGCAGGAAGCCCCAAGCACTACCAGAATGGCATACTCCAAGGATGCCCTCAAGCTCCGGCCATCGCCAAGCTTGTGCTTCACAGACCGCTCCAAACCCTGGTCAGAGAGCATCCGGCCGTCATTTTGCAGACTTGGGTGGGCGACGTCTCCTATGACATCAAAGGCACTGATCCGGAGTATGTGGCCCGGGAGGCGGTTCTGGCTTTCAGGACTTTGCAATCCACCCTCGCGGCAGAAGGGCTGAAGCTGAACACGGAGAAAACTGGCTTCATCACAAGCAGCAAGGAATCGGCAAAAGCCCTGGATGCTCAGCTCCGGGAAGACGATCCCAAGCATCACAACATCCTCAGAGACCTCGGCATTGACGCCACCAACTCACGGCGCAGACGCATCACCCAAATCAAGAAAAGATTCTTGAAGGGCAGAGGACGGGTTGGCATCATGCTGCGTTTGAAGCTTGGCAATGCGACCAAGTACCGGCTACACCGTGGAGCAATTCACCCAGTGATGTCCTGGGGGGGCTCAAGCAAATGGCCTTGCTCCACAACGACGTCAGCAACTGCGGGTCTTGGCTGGCAGAGGCCTTGGACTACAAAGATCAGGCTCCGTTGACGTCGTTTTCGACATGCATCCTGACAAGAGTGATCCTGGTGACTCCATCATCCTCCAGCACATCCACACTGTATGGAAAGTCCTCCATTCTTTCGACTCCAGTGCTCAGCACCTCTTTTGGATCAGCTGGAACTCTGCCTTGGACCTCCTCCTCAAGGCCAAGCATCGCTGGCAAGTCGTCACTGGACCTCTTCAAGCGCTACAAGCTTACCTGTTGGATTACGACTTTGACATTTCCAATGGCAAACTATGGAAGAGAACAGGCTATGGTGGAATCCCAGACTGCTGCATCAGCCTGGAAGCCCTTTGGCCGGAGATCCAACACAAGCTCAATGAGGAATTTCAGTGGCAACGATTGCTGCGCCTGACCAGGTACGAGGGTTGCCACGATTTGGAGAGGAAGTTGGATTGGAGCGTCAGCAAAACTCTCCCAAAAGATGACCAGTGAGAAAGCTGCCGTCGGCATCCGAGCCCTGCATCAAGGCACTCTCCATGGGCAGACAGGGACATGTCCTCTGTGTGGCGTTGAGCTGACCTTCATCCACCTCTTGTGGGAGTGCAGTTTTTGGGAAGGACGTGTCCAACCACTGCCGCAACAATGGCGAGAAAGAATCCAGGCCAACTCCGAGCCTGAACTCTGGAATAGGGGAATGACTCAGTCCATTTTCTACATCCCAGATGGCGGCATGGCCACATTTTCTGGCGAAGGCTTATGGGCGGATCTGGAGGCGTGCAATTTGCCTGCAGGACATGCAGTTTCCTTGGCCGTGGCGCCCACTTTGTCTTTGCCATTTGCATCCACCAGGTTTTCACCAGAGAGCGGGTCGCCTCTTTCACTGGCATCTGTCCTGGCAAAGCCACTCGGTTGAGAGCTTTGTTCTACGGGTTGAAACACCTCTCACTCCACATCCGCGACAAGGTGCATGTTGCGGTCTTTGACCATGCCATCTGGAAACATTGGTCCTTCTTTGCTGCTCATGAGCGTTTCCCAGACCTCAGCATGGGACTGGAGCATGAGGACTTTGATCAGGTCCGTCTTCTCCTCTTCAACAGGAAGGAACTGGATTCGAATCTCAACAGGAAAGCCTTCCAGCGAGACACGCAGGCAAAGGCAAATCAGGCAGCACTTTTGGCCAGACCCGAAGAGATCATCGATCTTCAGAAACACATTGATGAAGACACTCGCGATGTTCTTAGTGTGGCCGGAAACAGAATGAACATCCTCCTCACCTGCAAGGAGCACTTTCTTCATCGCAAAGCTGCCATGGTGGACAACTTGAAAGTCCCTTTGATCCAACAAAAGAAGGATCTCCTGGCCAGCTACTTGAAGAACCCACAGGCTGAGGGACATCAGTGGCAGCTTTTCAGGTCAGGCATTCAGTGTGCCCACTGCCGAGTGCGATATCACACCAAATCGCTGATCAAGGAGCTACGTGATGGCCTCACTGTGCCATGCCCACAAGCAGCTCCCAAGTCTGCTCCAAAGAAGACCCGCTTTGAGGTCATCCATGATCTTCTGGAGAGCCAAGGTGAGGTGCCGCCTGGCACTCATCACCTGCGCTTGGAGAAAGCGTATCTCCGCTGCACCCGCTGCAGAAGCTACGTGTTGGCAAGGGCAGGAGAGGAGATTTTCACCCGCTTCGTTGGGGAAGTTTGCCATCATGGACCTCTGGCAAGCAGCCTCTGGTTCGGGCACCCGACGCACCACATGCACCGCTCGGGCAATGTGGTCGAGTGCCTTCAGTGCCATGCCAGAGCGCGCTTTCAAGACGAACAGGTCAAGCTCACGGAGAAACTCAAGAGGAGATGCAGCACCACCTCTACCTCCCGCGACATCCGCACGATGTTGGCATGAGTCCAACTGAACTCGTTCATGCTGAAAAGAGCCGGACAAAAAAAATAAATAAATATATATATGTATTATATTTTTGTATATATATATATATGGCATTCTTGATCATCGTTGCATACGTAGGACCACCGCTGTAGCAGTTCTGGGCCCGAGGGTAAATGTGACGACCGAAAGGTCATCAGGAAACTCATGTGAATGTCATGTTGCTACTGGTTCACTGGTTCATTCTTCATGGCAAAAAATTGTATTCACCAACAACCATGCATGCAAAGCTTTGATGTGCTGCCATAATCAAGGTTTGCTCAGTTGCTCTTGCTCAAAAAGCGCTCCAGCCAACCGGATGTATCTCTGAGTCGGTTGCTGAGCTTTGTTTCTTCGCCCACTTGATATCACTTGTCTGGAAAACACCTCCCTGGTCGAAGGTCTGAGTTGGACTCTAGTCTAGTGGTCTTATGGTCCCACCTCTCTCTCATGCTGCCATACAGCAACAAAACAAAAAGTCTTAAGCTGGTGCTCATCACATCTAAGCAACATCTCCTTGCTCTCATGAAACACTGTGAAAGACCTGGACCTGAACCACTTCATACCAATTCACTGCGGCCTGCTGCCATGTTACCCACCCAGATCCTGAACCACAGATGGTCTCCCCGCCAGGATCCGCCAGGTGGCTCCCAGGCGGTGTTCGCTCGGGAGGAGCTGGCAGCGGCAGGATATCCGAGTGGAGCTCCAACGATCGCACATCCTGGGATAGATGAGCAGCGCCGTGATGCTCCGCTGCTCCCCGCGCCAACGGCCCACACTTACTTGGTGTCCCCTGCGAACACATGTGGATTTTCATCCTTTCGATGCTGTTGGTCGACCCCCCCCATCCCCCGTTTCTTCATCCTTGACCTTCACCCGGCAAACGTCCATCACCATCTGGCCCGGCACCACGAGCCTCGGGTGGATCGGATCGGATGCTGAAAACAAACCCGGACCGGTCGCTGATGAGTGGAGTCATGAGTGGCCAGGGTGCGGAATGGCACTAGTTATATAGGTGGAAGGGATATAGGTCACGAAGATAAATGAAAAGAGGGTATACGGGCCAGTTCTCCATCCAACCCAGGTCTCGAAGACTCCCTTCTGTGGCCGTGAGTCCAGAACCTGCTAGACCATTGACAACACAGCTAGCACAGTGAGAGTTGTTCCTCACTCCCTGTGCAGTTGTCAAAGAAACAAGATGAAACAACCACGGCCCTCGTATGCATGTCTATTGATAGCCGCTTCATAGAGGAGATTCGGGGTGTCCAGCATCCATCAACCACCCCTTGTGGGTGAACATAAGCTGACCTCCACTCACCAGAATCTGTACAAAATCTGTACCATTCTGTACCAGATCCACTTGGAAGATCTGGATTTCGATCACCACTCCAAGAAGTTGGATTCCTTTTCCACAGGTCATTCAACTTGAAACCCAAGCTTGGTGGTTTCAGACTGTCCTTGCGGATCTTCAACGACCCTCCTGTCTGTCCTCCGGTTTTCCTCCATCCGTCTCCAACATGATCCTTCTAAGTGGGACGCCGCACCCCACGCACGACCTGCGCCCCCGGTCCGGCACCGGTCCAGGCCACACCAAGGTCGTCACAGCGTCGACGGTCGTTCCTGACAGAACGGACTTGGCGTTGCCCGGATTTGCTGCGGGGGTTCGGATGCCATGTTTTGATGGTTTGGCGCGTTCGCGCCTTGGCAGCACGCAAGTCACATTTTTTTTTTAAAGTTCATGTTGGAACACACATTCTGAAAGATGGTTTTGCGCAAGCGCGTGAAAGCAGGCAAGTAAAATCAAGCAAGTGGAAGGCTCCCTGATTTCCAACAAGGCCACTGGAGAAGGGAACATACGAGGGAAACCACCAACCCTGGTCGGTTTGTTAGGTTTTTTCCTAGCTTGCTTGCAGGATTTGGTAGTCTGCTATGTAGGCTCCATTTCAACGGACCCCCCAAAAAAACCTCTCTGATACCAGTCAATCATTTCTTGCAAATTACATATCTATCTGAGTGAAGATTGAAGACTTCACCACTTAAAGCCTTATTGGACTCTTATTGGACTTTTCGACTGTTTCTCCTTAGCGGCGATCCTGTCCGATCCTCGCACCTCCAAATGCCCCCCCCCCCCCGTTCCTTCCGCTTCCACCGCACGCCTCTCCAGCTGCGGCCCGGCGCCAGCGGCCGCCCGCGGCGCCCGGTGGCGCCGTGGCCCAGGAGGGAGATGTAGAAACACCTCCGGTGGATGCGCCACCGAGTGGATGAGCTGGGCTGGGAGCGAAAGGATGCCAAAGGTAGCCACAAAAGCCCTGACTGGAGAGTCAGAATCAAGATGGATAATGATCCAGTTGATCAATGATGGGTTGATTAGCCCCAAGTTGAGTCACGTATCAAGATTGACTATTGACTCATGGATTCCTTTCGCACTGCAACCCTGGATCACCTGGATCCACTGAGTGGTGAGTCACCTCCTGCAGGAGCAGTGGCAGCTTGCTGACTGAGAGGTCACCAGCTTGCTACAAGTCTTTGGAGCCTATCAAAGGAGGTCAGAAGATGGGCACCTCTGGAGGTCTCCAAACAATAAATTAGTCAGTCCACCAAAAAATATGGAACACGGATGAAAACGATGGAACATCACATCTCTTGTCTAGAACATGACTTGGTCATCGCTTCCTGAGGAGGAACCATTGTTGATCGCTCTCCCTGCGCAGTTCGGCCGCGCGGATCCTCGCGGTTCCGCAACACGTTTCATCCAGCGCCTCGTTTCATCCTGAGCATTGATCACACTCAAGACCTGCGCGGGTTCATGGATACCCAAAAACCGTTGGTAAATCGACCGCAACCGCGGCGGGGTTCAGCTGGCGTGCAAAAGGGCATGTGTTCTGCTGGCGTGGCAGTTGGGTGGGGTCAAGAAAGGTTGGTGACCGGAGGATTCAGGTGTTTTTTTTTTTTTAAACATGCGCTCTGGAAGATGAACATGGAACCTGAGAAGTGATCTTTGAAAGACTATTTTGCTCTACAACCCAGTGGTTTTAGTGTTTTATAGTTATAATTTTCCACAGCGTATAACGCATCTCTTGTGATTCTGCGGCAAACACATCCAACATATGTTTGATATTTTTTGTACTACATGATTGGCAGAATAGGCACTGCACCTCAGCAAACTCAAAAGGGCTCGCAGTAAGCTTTCTTGGAGCCCTCTAGGATGGAAACCAACAATTGCTGGCCCAGTGGTGGCCTGGCCCAGTGGTGACCTCGCAGCCGGAGGAAAAAAAAACCGGGGACTCCGCTCACTCCACTTCCGGAGGAGTGTTTGGAGCATGTTTGGGCTTGCTGAGGTTCAAACACATCCAAACATGCGACTATACAACGCTTTATGTTTTTTGTTCTTTTTGGTGTGTGTGTCTATAGAGTTTTCGCACCCCCTCGGGCACCGCCGGTGTGCGGAGCTCTGTTCATAGAACGTCCGAACGGAGGTTACATGGTTCGACTCCACCCCCCGCTCGACCCGGTTCGTCTCAGCGGTTCCTCTGGCGGTTCGCGTGGGTCGCGCACCTTCCGGCGCGGATCCACCGAGAGGTCTGGCAGGTCTCCATGGAGACCAGCCGAGCGCAAGTCCTGCGCGCTCGGATGAGCTCGCAGGATCCCGGCAAAGCAACAGAGGTCAAGCGACCCATTTTAGGACCCTATATAGTGGGGTTCCTATATAGAAATACAGAATACATCAGAATACCCACTTGAATTCTGTAGTGGGGTACCTATAGGTGGACCCAAAACCTCTTGCAGCCATCAGGAAAGCTCGGGATGTGGAGATTCTTTTGGGGTCTTGGCAATCTTGTTGCATCGTGTGTTGCAGTCGGGGGCTGAAGACGCATTCTCGGTTCTTCCAAATTTGCCAGCAGGTTGAAGCATTGGAGGTAGGGTTCCTATGGGACACCCACTACTCAGACCCGACCCCTTGTAGAGGTTTAAGGGATTGACCAGTTGACCTCCCATGGAGTGTACCTTGATAGTGATTTTGAAGTTATCACCATTCGATCTGGTTTCTAGCAATCATCCATGGCAAGGTGAGTCCATCATATGGCAGGTCTTACACATTGCGGACAATGTTGTTTGCCCTGCGGGTCGTTCGCAGGGCACACCCATCGAACTACGCGAACGAACACGAACCGCCGCATTCGTCCGAGCGGGGGCCTCCAATCCCAAGATCCAATCAGCCTTCCCATGCGCCACATGGCACCCTGGCCAGTCGCCTGCGCGGGCGAACATGCAGGCAGCCCATCGGTTTGGGGGGGACCTGCAAAGGGTCGGGAAACTCTCCAGCGAAAGCAGCATGTAAGTGGAACAGGCACCTGTGAAGACCTAGACAACTGGGAGAAGAAGGCCCGCTCTTAGTGAATCGCAGTAAAACAAATCAAATGAGAGACCTATATCAGACCCAATTCGCCCCCCCCCAAACCAATACCAGTCTCTCCGGCAAAACCCCATTCCGCCCAGCTCCGCCATCACCCGACGCCTTCGCGTGGCCGCGCGCCACGGCGAGCTGCTGTCTCCTCAGGGGGGGGACGACTACAATCCACCATCAACCACCCGAACTCCCCGGTTCTATCAGGACATCTTCTGGAGAACTCGATCTGGATGTTTTTGGAATCTTGCCATGACCACAATGCTGAAAGTGTTTTCTGCACCTGAGAGTTCCCAATGATTTCTGTTTGATTAGGACACCTGGCGTGCAAAAAAACATGATCTTCAGAACTCCCGACATGGCAAAGACCTATAGGCGAACAAAACAACACATCCACAAACATCTAAAATCGTGTCCGCAATGTTGTTCTGATCTCGGCTGCAAGGGTAAGCCAACCCATTCAACACCTCCAGCATATGTGCTGGTTTGACCAGTAATCAGGCATCACTGGTTGAACAACGATCCTCGTGCAAGTAATTGGAAGATACTCATTGAACAAACCTCCAGCACCTGTGGGGGTGTCATGATTTCAGACCCTAAGTAGTTGAAGACTCTTGATGAATAACCCCCCCAAGCCTGAAAAGGATTCATCAAAAGTCTACATTGGGGGGGTGTTCTTCATCAAGAGTCTACATTATATAGTTGAAGGTCACGCTGTTGGAAAATATATGGAAGCACGGAAGATCTCTCCGTCCCAACACCAACCTCCGGAGGCGATGGCCTCGCCTCGCCCGCGTCCATCTCTTGGCATCTCGCGGGCGGGGGAGGTGGAGAGTGAGATGTCCGGTCTTGATCGGTCTTGAAGATATGGACGTCTGAAGACGTCTGGAGTTGTTCTTCAGGTGGTTTGGAAAGTGGTAAGGCATGACAAGGAGAAAATGGCTTCGTTATACCAAGCTGGTCACTATTTCCAGCCTGAACAAGCTGGAGATCAATCAAAAAGGCCGCTCCTGGGAGACATGCTGAATGAAGTTGAAGTTCCAAGAGCTGCAAAGTTCTGGACTGGCCACTGGCGGATTGTCAGAACTTTCATGGCTTTAGCTTCTGCATGCTTCTGCTGAGGTATGTGAGATCAAAGGCCAAGAGTTGCAGGGCGACGGGCGAGGATTTGGAACGAGACGATGTCATGCTGGGAAGTGCCAAACAAGTCGGCCGAACCCGTGCGTTTGGAGCTTTCACGAGTTCGGTGCCCCCCAATCCCGGTTGGGAACCCCAAGAAGCACCTGCTGGGGATGACATGATTTCTACAAGTTCTACAAGTTCTCCCCTTATGTTTTTACTAAGCACCCGATTGGAGGTGCAAAACAACAAGCCAGTCAACCTACTGGCCGCAAGTTAGTCTTTGGATCATCCTGCAACCATGTGGTGAACGAACTTGCCCATCAACAGGAGTCGATTTCTTGGAAGCTTCCAGACTGTCCGACGTTGATTTCTTTGTTTAAGAAACATGTGAAGTTGAAACCCCTTCGAAGTCAGCTGTCTTGCACATGTCACTCTCACTTCCAATGATGGCAAAATAGAGACCTTGCACTTCCCGTCAACAAACCATGGGGACACATCATGGCCGAGAATCCCACATCCGTCCTGTTCAGCGTCTCTTCCTTCGGTATAGTAGTTCTTCTCCGGACTTTTGCCACTTCTTCGACCACTGCATCTGCCCAGGAAAATGCTCCAAGCATCGCTTGGCCGAAGGCATTCCCTTCATGAAACGGTCAGGGTCCGATCTGTCAAAAGGTGCGGAGGTCCGGCACACCAGTCATGCCTACGACATACGGAAGACCGTCGATCTCTGGTGGTGTTGCATGTGATGTGTATTCTTTCAGACCCCTGGCGTGGAACTTGACCCCCTGGGAGGTGAAGGGAAGTAGACCGGTCTACCATATACAAATTGCCGGGGCGAGATTTCGATTCTGTTCGAATCCCAGAGATTGAGTGCATCCTAGAGGTTGAGTCAATCCCAGAGATTGAGTGAAGACCTAAATTCATCCAAATGACCCATACTTAGTACGGAATATAGATGCAAACATGTTGCCCGATATTTGCATCATTAATGACCACACCTAATCATGTAAGATTCAACTATTCAGCTGTCCAATATACATGGATGGTTTGAGATATTATATGATATTATGATCTTTCGCAGTGGTTGTAATGCCTTTGGAGCAGGGCCTGTTGTACCATTTGACCCCAAACACGGCCGTATTTCTTACGCTTCTTAGCACAGGAACGCCCAGTTAATCCACATTGTTGTCCGAGCCTCTCGTTGGGTGCTTCACGTGTGCACACATCCAATGTAACGGGACTGGTGTGCTTTCATGATAGTGACTCAAAGAGTCAAGTGACTTTAGTATAGGTTCTTGGACTAGAACAGGGACAAAAGCAGAACTCTGCACCACTCTGCCAAAAAAAACAATCGATGAAAATCCACTAATATGTGTCAAAGAATAACCAACATGAGGACTTTCCAGTCTGCATGCTTGGTCCCAGGCAGTGTTGAGATTTGCTGCAGTTTGTTTTCTTACTTCCTACATCTTCCTACCGGAGAGTTGAAACAAACTCTTTGGCCTCAACCTCTGTCAGGATCAGTGTTGAAAGAGTCGATCATTTGTTGTTATCTTCCTTGCCTTTCCTGCTTAAGTGGACCGTACCGGTCAGCATGACCTGCAAAGTAGATGGCAGTAGATGGCAGTGCCCCACCTCAAGCAGCAAAAGGTGTCTAGGGCCGACTATTCGGATGGGTTGCCTGTTGCCTTGGTCGCCTTTCTTCGACTGGACCCCACTCAACTCCCCATCTCAGATTGACACACTTCACGGAACACCACTTCTCACCAGGGTGAAGGAAATTCTCGTGATCTCTGGATTTATTTGATTGGTTCTACTCCAAAAATTGTGCCAATCTGCACAGGGCTCCCTTCTCAAAAATCTATCTTTAAACTTGCGACGGACTTATGAGGTGCAATCATGCAGCTCCTAACTCAACGGCCAGTTCACTCCGCGTAGCTGTGAAAGCGGGGCACGTGGAATTGGTTTGCGAACTCCATCTGCACCGAGTAATTACATGATAGTGATAGTGATAGTGATTACATGATTACTTGTAATAACCTTCTGCTCTCAGTTGGTAGAGGATGCATTGAGATGCATTGATCTTCTGACCTCCCACAATCAGGGAGGACGTTCACTCGCGGAGAGCTTCACACGAAGCTCGCCAACACCACAGCTCGCCGGACGCTCCACTTGGCCAATTCCATGTTTCTCTTCGGCTCCAATCGAACCGATGACCGATCGAGCTTCCGGACTGTTCTTTGTTGCTTCCATGGTCACGATCGATGTCACGATCGAGCTGTGGGAGACACGTCATGCTGTGTGTTCAGTCATGCAGTCATGCAGTAAAGGTTATTGTAGACTCTTGATTAATACACCCCCCACTTGAATTGAACATCCTCTTCAAAGGGGTGGTTTATTAATCAAGAGTCTACATTACAAGGTCTTTTCACTGCTGAGAAACAGGAGGAGAGAGCTTCTTGACGTGCTCTGCTTCGAAATGAGTGCACGCTCCGTGTTACGCACCAGCCCTTGTTTTGCATTGCTCCGTTGGTGGATAACAGGATGATAAAGGTTGGTGATCCCAGAATGCAAGCTCTGTCGGTCTGCAAAATGGCAGCCCACGGACACAGTTGCAGGCTTGTAGCTTTGCTTAGGTAAAAGGTCTATATAGCTTCCCTTGGGCTTTGCCTATCCTTCAATGACACGTGCAGCTGCTGGTCCTGCGAGCGGGGCAGTTTTGGCCCCTGGCCCCCCAACTCGTCTGCGGCACTCGCCAACTTGACGAATCACCCAGGTCAGCTGACAGCTGCTAGGCTACCACCTGCAGCATCATCGCAGCGTCGAGACCATGGAGTTTTCCTTCCCACGGCTTGGGAGTGCAACATGCTCAGCAAGTCCAGTGTTGGGTATTGTTATGTTATATTTAGGTGGTCCACGAAAAACATCGCCAAACCGTATCCAAAAGGAGTCCAAACTTCTTGCAGGTGAGTAATTACGCCCAGTTCCTATTCTGCTTGTCTCAGCAACATCACGGAGCGTTCGATCCAATGAGATTCGGGCCTCTTCGCCCGCGGGGAAGGAAGGCCGTTGTTCCAATTCCCCAAAGGCCCCTCTCCCAGGGCCGAAAAGAAGCACCGCCAGGTCAACACGCCTCTCGGCTCTCCCCAAGCTCCTGGCACCGCACCGTCGACCGGTCGACCGGTTGACCCACAGGTCGACCCTTTACGGGTCTCCAACGGGAGACCCAGGGGCACAGAGTCCGGTCTCTTGGGTAGGTGCCAGTCAAAGTATACAGCCAAATGAAGTAACATGGAAGGTACTTTAAAGGAGTCTCAGTTGATTTCTGAAGTTAGATGTTTACTTGGGTGCAGAAAGGCCTTTTCTTGGGTGCTATGGTTCATGAGAGGGCGCTGATTCCTGAAGCCTAAGAGACTGCCTACGAGTACTGTCCCGCACCCTTCTGGGCAACTTTGGAGGGTCGACGTCTCTCCAACAGCAGCTAACACACAAATAAAAACAAATACATAATACCTATAGAACCCCAAACCTATGAATTTGTTGTTTTAGCTCAAGACACTAGACTTGGAACCTGTAGAAAAGCCGTGGTTACCACTCATCTTCAAATTCTCGAAAAGAATTCACCTGTTCCACTTATCCGCTTTGTCGATCCAAGAACTCGACCTGGAAACCTCCCCCCAAAAAACGTCGAACAACTCTCCAGAGTGGTCGCTGTGGGAGTGAAAATCTGAACCTCTGGGAACCTCTGGGGGTAACACGACGACCCCGCGGTCGATCTTGGCTAGACACGACACTTTGAAAAGGCTGTTGGAAGAGTCAGCCACGCGCCACTGGGAAGAGTCAGCCACCCGCCATCTGCTTAGTTTGGCATCCCAAAAGAATCTGTTTGAACCGTCCCCAAATATCCCAAATAGTTCATGTTTACCATCAAGGTAAGTCGTTTTGTATCATTGTATGCAGCTTGGACAGCAGCTTGGACCATCCAACATATTACAACATGACCATCCTCCATGCGCTCCATGCTCGTATCCCAATCTATCTTGGTCTGGAGTGTGTGAATCATTTGCAGGCGTATAGGTGATGACTGGGTCTATCCAGGGTGACCTAGACTCTGGCTCACTAACATGAAACATGGAAGTGGATGGCATGGCCCCGGACTGTAAGGCGGCCTTCCTTGACCAAAAAGCGGGTTCTCCATGTCCATGTTCGTGAGCCGAAGGCCGGATACGGTCCCTCATCGCACATACGCGTTCACACCTGGCAATCGCCCGGTGGAACCGCCATGCTGTGACACACCTGAACAGCGACCGCCGTTCTTCCAACCGAGATGGAGACGAAGGACACATTCAGACCGGTCTGGAGTCAAAGGTGCCTAGTCCGAGGACATGGGTTTGTCCCAAAGACATGAAATCACCCAAATATCTCCAAGCCCAAGACTTGCTGAGACATGGGTTTGGATTCTCAACAAAACCAACAGCAACAATAAAGAGGGAACCAGCATTTGCCAAGCTGGAAGTATGAGTCGCCGTGTATGTTGATGGACACCGGAGCCCTGCTTTCCAGTCTTTTGCAGACCGCAGGTCAATCAATACAAGTTTGTCCAAACCGCACTGGGTCGAGAAGTGGCACCCAAACATGTCTTCTATACCAGGGCCTTCCAAGGAGTGTCTAATTATATAGCTCCTTAGAGGTGATTCGGGGTATCCAATGGGTATCCATTAACCACCCGTTAGGGGGTCGTAGATTTCGATGGATGTTGCCCCGGAGCACAGCAGGCACTGTTCGGCACTGTTCGGCCCCCCCAATTCGTCCCAGCGGCACAGCAGGTATTGCTCTGCGGAATCCATTGAGCAATGCATTCAAAGTGGTACCTGGAACGAACCGGTGGACCCGGAGGCGCAAAAACATCACAAATCCACTGCCTGTGGGATGCTTTTGGGACCTGGTGGGACCTGGTGGGAAATGGACATTTCAAACTGGGACATGCTTGGTCTTGGATTTCCAGTAATTTCCAGTACTGTTAGCACATTTACGGACCATCCAAAGGCAGGAATCAACCCAAGAAATGCCCTTCCGCTTGCTGAGGCCCGGAAATTCACCCAAAACTTGAGGAAAACTTGAGGCCAGAGGGGGTGAACGAAAGCTAGCCGGGCTTCCGGTGGTCTGCTGCTGGTGCTGCTGCCGCTGCTGCGCTGGGCGCTGCTGCGCTGGGTGCTCTGCAGGCGCCGGGTCGTCTGCTGCTGCTGCTGCTGCTGCTGGCGCTGGGTGGTCTGCTGCGGCTGCTGCTGCCGCGGCGTTGGGTATGCTGCTGCTGCTGCTGCTGCCGCCGCTGGGTGGTCTGCTGCTGCTGCTGGTGCTGCTGCTGCTGCTGCCGCTGCTGCGCTGGGCGCTGCAGATGCTTGGTGTGCTGCAGCTGCTTGGTGGTCCCGCTCACCGCGCGCAGGGGGGGAGTCGAACCGCGGGGGGGGGGGGGGTCCATAAGATTGATTTAATCAATTATTTGAGGTTTCTGAGGTGCGTCCACCCCGTCACTTAACTTGCTAAAGCAAGAGCAACTCCAGCTAGCTAAGGCTAGCTTTCGTGACAACCGCTGTCGCCGCCCCACAGTGCCACACGGTCAGCAGGGGGTCACTCGTGCCCACAGGGCAAAACCCTCACGTCCTCATCTTTCTCCATGAGTTCCTCTCAAGGCCCGCAGGGTACGAGGAGTATGTGGGTGGCTTCAGTCTCGGATTTTGCAGGCTCATCAAGATCTATAAGGGGTAAATGTTCAGTGATCAGTAGGAACATGTCCCTGGCTGGTATGGAGGCGGTGGAACTTAAGATTGCAAGAGCCCTACATCAAAGCCAGCATGGGGTGGTGCATCATCTCATTCCATCCAACAGCCAGAGTTGTATCTTGTTGTCTGTGGCCATCTGACCTTCTTAGTGCTGCAAAAGAAGGGGTTGGAGGGCACGACTGCGTTCCTGAGGTGGAGATCATTGCTGCAACTTGGTTGAACATCCAGGCAATACAGCCCTTTGCTCGACCAAGCAAAAGTTTGGAACCTGGAATCCAACATCGAACAGATTGTTTTGCCTGGGATTTGCTATGGCTTTTGTGGGAAACAAAACTCATGGTCTGAGATGTTTTCGGAGAAACTTTGTTTTTTGCAAATGGCCCCTTGCTCCTGAGTAAGTGGCCCTTTGGCTTTTCACTGTCGCATTCAGATTTATTTACCCATCATGTTCAACACCACTCGTGCAAGGGAGGAGGGATTATACAACTTCATAGCGAGTTGAAATGAATTCAGGGATGGTTCTCTCTCACGCACACATATGCTATAGCCAAATGCTGCTGGGGTCTCTCCGATTTGTTGTCCGCCAAAGTTATGAAAACAAACTTAGAAGAACAGTGGCAGAACAATGAACAAGTGCGACAATGAAACAGTGAGACACCAGCAAGAATGAACAGCTCGAACTGGGAGGAAGCCACCTGCCCGACACAAACACAACGATCTGTGACAAGGCTTAATCATGTTCAAGCTCACTGCTCAGTTCAACCCAGACGCAGCCAAGGGGCCCCAATCCATCAGCCGTTTTCACGCTCAAATTAGACTGCCGACCGGGCCGACCGGCATTAACCTTCGTTCTCAGCCATTCTTCTCTTGCTGCAGCCGTGCTTTCTATGAAGGAAGCAAAGACAGAAGTGAGCTTCCAATTGGTACTTGAAAGGGGGAAGGACACATCCCCCAGACCTGCTGTCTAATTCGAGAGCTGTGGCAGTGGCAGTGCGCAACTTGTCGCTTCTAGGTTTGCATCTGGAAAAGTTTGCTGTGCCTCTCCACTCTTTCCACTGCACTGGCAATTGGTAATTTCAAAAGCCGGCTCACACCAACTCGTGGCTGCAAACAACGGATTGGAGTGATTGGAGTTCGAATTGTCAGCTTTCCAGAACCAAGTTGAGCTGCCCAAGTGAACCTCAATGGCGCTACAATAGTGTCCACAACTTGGCCACTTGCAAGAAGTGGTTGTTGCATTGAAGCAATAGCTTGAGTGACGGTTTAAATCCCGCCTCAATGACTGTCCTTAGTCCTCTGCTCCATTGCGTCATGGGATAGAAAGGTTGCTGGAGGATGCAGAGCATTGATTTGGCATTTGGCAGAGCTTGGGCTGGCAGGAAGACTGATGTGTGGCAGCATCCATGACAGCCAAGTTGGGGCAGGGTCCAACAGTACTGACACTTGGCCACCACTGTTCCATTCCTGACATGATGATTGGGCACCTGACGGGGGAAAAGGAATTGCCTGCAGCCAACACAAGTGTGTCTTGAAGAAGTGGCGCAGAAGGAAAGCTTGGGAAAGCTTTGGAAGTGTTGAGACATGCCAGTGGCTTTTCCAAGAATAGTTAAGCTGGTCAGACTTATTGTGTTCATTGGATGGCTAATCCTTTTCCAAGCCTCAAACTCTTTCTCATGACTCATGCCTTGCTTTTTTGTTTTGCTGCTCTATGGCGCCATGGCCCTCGTGAAGAACTGCCGGATGAGGCAGTGCCAGTGGAGGAGAACGTTGCGATGGTGCTACGAACATATTGCAGCATTGCAAGCTCAATGAGTTGGCGGGTTAGGTGTTTGAGTATACCCTGCCCGACCAGTGTGGCACTATCTTGGAGACACCAGTGAAATCACAGGGTATGAGAACCCACAGCAACATCTTCTTTACTTCAGGCACTTCATGGCCGACACGATTCAATGACCGATGGCTGCGTGGCGGCATGACACATAGGACAGTGATGGACAATGAGCTTGGGACCCTTTGATGAGCCTGTGGCTGTTTCTCACTGGGAATTGAATCGCTGCCCAGCAACTCAGCGTTAGTGTTTGAGCTGTTAGTTAGCCGTGCACAAAAGTGTGTTCGCAGCTGACCGTTTGCGCGGGTTTGTCATGACACGTGGCTCATAACTGTGTGCTGATTGGTGGTGGCAGTAAGCCAGGGCTTTCAATAAACTCAATGTTTCCAAGGGGGGCCTTTGATCATTTGGCAATCTTGGGCAGGTGGTGGCATCCTGTCAGACTTCGTGTGTGTGCGTGTGTGCGTGTGCGAGTGTGTGTCCACAGTTCATTGTTCCATTGTTCACGGTTCTGCTGTTCAGTTCCACTATTCAATGCATAGAGGATACTATGATATACTATGCAATTATATGCACAAGTAACTTCTACATTGCACACACCTAAAAATAGAAGTGATCTAAACACCAAAACACAGGGCCACTTGCTCGGGAACAACGGGCCACTTGCCCAGAGAGAACATCGAGCCTTACGAGACCTTCAACCCTGGCCGAAGCTCAGGCGACATGGGGCGACCGTTCATTGATCCCTAGGGCTCCAGTCGTACCTTCCGAGTGTTTGGAGTGGTTTGGGATGGTCCAGTCGTACCCGGACAGACCTCGGACGCTTTTTGCGTCTCCTGCGACGGTTTCCGCGTCTTCCGAAGCGGCTTCTTCTTCCCGGTCCGGCGATGGTTTCCCGTTGACGCTTTCGAAGAAACTGTTCCCAAAATCAACTGAAGGATCTAAAAAACGCAATTCCAAGGACGACACATGGCAAGCGAACAGCGCATCCAGAAAAAATCAGTGGAATGAAGCACCGCAAGAAGACGTGACGAAACACACATATAGAACGTGCCATGTTTGACAATATGGAATCTTCTACCAGAGATACCAGTCTTGGTCATTGATCAGGAATATCCAATCATGACCCCACAAACCCCCATATATAAGGCTAGTTATAGTTGGAATGCTGGATGAAAAGTCCAACAAATGGACTGTCCTGGCAAATGACGCAACAGCCTGTCTTCAAGGCTGCCTGGCAGAGTCTGCAAAAGGTTGAAACTGAGCAAACATGAATGAACTAAAAATCATTAAATAGCCAATAAATTCCTTCAAGCACTCTATCCAGGGTACTGACCCGGCTCCAAATCCGTAAGGTGACCTTTCTCTAACGAGGTGGCTGCCGTGGTGACAGACATGTGATATCCGGAGACAAGCCCTGATCTTGCTTCCCGGTTGTTGTCTTCAAAAAGCATCGAAAGCACCAATTGACGCCCATCAATGCAATGGTTGTTGCTCTTCCAGGGAACCTTGGATTGTTCCAAACAGTCCTCAGTCAAACATGAAACCCCAGAAAGTGTTCGTATTTTCAGAAAACAGATTGGTATCCTCATTGTGGTGGCATCAACAGTTTCATACTAATAGACTATGTGGCTGCTTGGGTTCCCGGTATTGCTGCTTGAACCCCACCACACCTGTCACATCTCAATGGTTTGCATGTGTTTTTTTTAAATAGACCTGACCTTCCATGTTGACCTTCTCCAACGACCCAGAGAGAACGGGCAGCTAGCCATAGGTGTCCCTGTCTCCACGGTGAATTCCCGCGCCGCATTCACGTCGTCGCCAGGTCGGGTCACCTCACCACCTGGTCTCCACGTCTGACGTCCTGCCACTCACGTCGTCCACGCCAACGCCTCGCGCTGGGGCAGCGCCGCAATGAGCCGCGCATCCACGGAGATCTCCGGACCGCCACGGCCCAGAGCCTGGCGAGGACGTGGAGAGGGTGGGGTAGGTGGGTGGGGTGGGTGGGTACTGTAACAGGTGTGTTTTGAAGAGGGTCCCTGGGTCCGGTCGTGATGTTGTGTTGGAGTAGTCCGGTCATGGTCTGGCAGCTGTTTTCACGAGAAGACAACGATGGACACGTTGCCACAACACATAGTTCGAACACTTAGCAAAATGGACTGTGAGGGTCTGGTTGTTAGATGTTGTTAGGGTCTGTTTCATGTCCTTTAGTGGTCTAACTCTTTTAAGATTTTGAGCGACCTTAAGCGACCTGAGAAGAATGACCAGAGTTTCCCTGAACGAACAAGGGGTCCATTTTTTTCCCATTGTATCCGATGTTCTAAGGGCTATAGAACCACCAAATAATGACTCAGTCCAACAAAAAGTAAATAAGCACCAAACTTCCCAGCTAATCCCAGGCGGCGCAGGTCTTCCTGACCTGTCTCGGTTTGATCAAAAACACCAAGGAGTTCTCTTCGTTTCTTTGACCTATGACCGTGAGTCCAGGCCGTGGGCAGCTCCCCATCACCCCCGGAATCTTGGAACCCCGAGGTTCATGCATACCAAGGTTCGGGTGTACACACACATAGCGAAACGTCCTGTTTGACATCGATTGGTTTCTTTGCATGGTTGGGAGGGGGAACCCGTGTCGTCCCAAACAAACAGGCTAGGGGGAAAACCAATGGTTTCTGTTGGTTTGTGCAGTCCTCGTGCACATGGACACAATGCAAGTTCTATGTTTAAATCAACAGCAAGTTCGGCATCCTCTAGTTGAACCACAAACATCTGACTGCCATAGATTTGGTCAGTCAACTACGTATTGGACATGGCTTCTCATCAGTTCCACCCCCATGGGCGCCCATGGAATTCAACCCGCGCATGTTCCATCCACCTGCTCCAAATCCAGCAGCGCATCATAGCCTCAGAAGGTGGACATTCTTAGCTTGAGACTCTGGTGACAAGCCTTCAACCTGTAGCCTCTAGAAGGCAATACACCAAAAAACGACCCTGCACATCCCTGCACTGCCCTGCACTAGCAAGGGACTACTCTGCACATCCCTGCAATAAGCTGCACTACTTCCATTGAACACCCTTTCTGAAGGCAAACGGTTGATGCTGGTTGACTTGTCTCCAGTATACTGTCAGGACACTGAGCCACTTGAACTCTGAGCATCGCCCTCCTCTGCGGACGCTCGGAGTTCTCAGTGTCTGAACGCACCGGTTGATCACCGGTGTTTTCGGGCGCTGCAGGCACTGCACCCGGACACTGCACCCTGACACCACATGCAGGCGCTGCAGGCAGACATGGAAGTGGTGTTGGGGGAATCCAGGTCACTCGCGGACTGGTGTGTTGTGAATCATCAGTAAGTTCTTTGACCATAAATATAAAGTGTTTGTCTGATGTTCCATAATTCATTAGTGATTGTCCACTCTCGTTTCAATCTGTGATACATAAAGATTACCTTCTGCTTTGGTTTTCTTTTTGTGGGAGCAAACATGATGTCCTTTTTTTCTAGGAAAAGATGATAGGACAACCACAGAACATCAGCTAACCCAAAAGCCAGTGGTTATAGGATTGATAGGTCCGATTGCAAGTTCTACAATTGAATTAGCCATAGGGATTACTCTGGTGCAATCCGACTCCCTGAGAAATCCCTCTTCTGCTTATTCTCTCAACATCCCACTACTATAAGGACAGCTACACACATATATATTCTACTTCAAGGATCTGAAGATGCCACTTCAGATGAATTCTCTGCTTGCAAACCAACCTTTCTCAAAGCCATTAGAAACACAACCTCAACTCAAATCGACCTTCTCAAGTTTTGAAGTGGGTCTCCTCCCTTGAAAGATCTTCAACATGCAGCCAGGCACACGAATCCACAATGTCAAACCTTCAGATGTTGCATCCTCCTTCAGGTGTTTTCGTCCTTTTCCTTGTCCTTCCTCGTGTATCTTGGATCCCAGGAGTATGCGGCTGGCTTGCAGCGACGCGACGCAGTCCGCGACGCATATCCCCGTTGCATCGATCCCAGGATCCCCACGTGGATCCACACGTTCGGATCCGAACTCGGATAATCTGTTCTTGGCCAAGCAACTCATCTGACTCACATCCACACTGCACAGGAATTCCCGCAAGGCCTGGACCACTGCTTCTTCGGGCTCCGCAGGCGGGCGCGAAGCATCAAGCATCGATGGGGATGGGCAAACACAGAACATGTCGAAAAATTGTTTCGTGAGTTCTTAGGGAAGAATCATAATATATGGCCAGTGAACAGCTGGGGGGGGATTGACGATTTCCATGTTGCTTGATGTTGCTTTGAGATGTCAAAGCACCTCCAGCGGACATACCATCAGAACGATCGCCAGTTCAAGCGATCATGTCAATGGATTCTGGCTTTGGTGCACCACCTGTGTGAACTGAGCTTGCAGTTTCCGTGGTTCAACGGATCTTGTACTCTCACATGTGTAACCCTCGTGATCGGAGACCAGTGGAAAAATGGCTGCATGTGGCTCCTATATGTACTCGGTGTTGGTTCATCAATCCCATCATAGGCCACATGGGTCTAAATCCACCTGCATCTCCTGCATACCAGGACCCTCCAAGGGATGCCCTGTCTGGAAGCCTAGGCCGGTAGTGTGGGGTAGTCCAGCCAGGACACCCCGACTGGAGGGTCCTGCATGCCATGGGCGTCTGGTATTATGTAATTCCTCCAATTCCTCCAGGCTGCTGAACATCCGGTCCGCTTGGGATGATCCATCGATCTGCTCAGCCCCGTCTGGCACCCTAGACCGCTCGGTCCGACCGTGTGCTCGGGACCTCGCGGAGGAAGGTGAGGGTACTTCGGAGGAGTGCCAGGACACCGACTGCAAAGGAGATATGGAGGGTTCTTTAGTGTTCCTTCTCAAAGAGGTATATATGATATGTGAAAAACGGTTCTCTTGGAGAATCATCTTCTTGATCCAGAGCTGCTCCCCCTCGGTCCCTGAGTTGATCACTATACGACAAGTATTACTTTGATCAAACACAAAAGTATCACCTTAGACCTCAGACCTGAACTGCACCAGACGCAGGCACGTCACGTGCCTGTATTTTCATAGGGAGAGCCCCCCATCGCGAATCGCCGTAAGCTGGGTAGACTGGTCTATTTCCCGAACCTTAGGGATTGCCTGGGAGGTCTCCCTATTTAAGCTACGCACCCATATCACATGCACCTGGAACAAACCAACAGTCACCTTATGTCACCTTGGTCCGAAGTGATCATCAGGCCCACATCGTGCAACAATGGTCATAGTTCTCCAGGTTTTGGTGAAACATCCATTGGAATGGTCCCATGCTGCCCTGCCTCTCCCAATGGTCAAAACGTTTTTTTCGATCCCCAACGCCATCCCATCACATCGATCCACCCATGCCTCACACTGATCCACATATGGAATGTATCGGAGGAGGGCCTGGCGAGCGCTGAGAGCCAGTGGTGGGTGGAGACTGGTACCGACAGAAACTCGTGGCTGAGTTGTTGGGTTTTGCACCAAAATCATGTTTAACCAAAAATATTCAAGACAACCACTGTGTCTGTGTGTGTGTTCATTTTTTACAGCCAGTGGCGAAAAATGACGATCTTGAACTGAAACACAGGATGCTGCAGCAGGGTTCTAAGGACGACTAAGATGTTGGCCTGACTCAACATCGATGAGATTCATTGGACACCTGGGTATCGTGGTGGTAGTTAGTAGTAGTAGTAGTAGTAGTAGTAGTAGTAGTAGTAGTAG